CGCGCCAGCAGGTGAGTTCTGGTGTCACCACACCTCTCTGGCACTTAGTGGCACGAGACTAACTCCAGGTTTCTGGCGGGGGCCGTGTGGCCCCCTGCTGAGGTGCTCCGGGGTGCTCCTGAGTGAATCCTTAGCGCAGCGGGCGGGCCGCTCCACTTGCAGGAAGGGAGGGCCACACTGTGGCCTGCGGCCTCCGAAGACACACTGGTCTCACGGCGAGGTGGTGTGTGAGATGGTGGGGCCACAAGTTGGAATAAACCTGGACCCTAAAGTCTGCCTTGGAGAAGTGCCGCCCACTGCTCATACACCCCATCATGAGGCCCAGAGGAGCAAGAAATGAACTGGACTTGGAGTTCACCAGTGTGCACAGGGTGCGTGCCCATGTATTACACGGGCCCAGCTATGACTTGGACATGCAGCAGAGCACATGTTCGTTGTGGGGCCCACAACTAAGCTGGGCCCCACCTTACAGGCCGAGAACTGAGACACAGAGAAGCTACAGAACCGGCTCAAGGTGGGGTGAGTGGAAGAGCACTCGGGCCCGTGGCCTGGCTCCGAGCACCCGCCTGCCAGCACTCTGCTAGGCTGAGCCCACAACACCGGGGCCTCCTCAAGCCTTGGCCGGGAGGAAGGCAGGCTGCTCACGGCACCCTGGGCTCTTAGCCTGGCCCGGGGTCACCCAGTCTGCTGCTCTGGGCCCTCAGGTCAGAATCTCACAGCAGCAGCAGGAGCCCAGGGGTCCCTGCCTCTCCCGACCCCTCCTCACACCAGCTCCACCTGCTCTCAGCTCTGTAGACCCGAGGTCCACTCCTCTGGGGCTGCTCCTGGAAAAAACCACTCCCCACCCTGGCCCGAGTCAGTCACAGCTCTTCCGGTCACAAGTGACGGGAGCCTCACTGGTCTGGGGAGACGTGGTTGACCGGCTCTCACAACAGAAGTCCGGGGAGGACAGGTGTAGGCAAAACGACGTCACCAGAGGTCTGGGCCCCGAGTCCTGGTCTGCTCCGAGCTGCTTCTATCAGCACTGCCCCCCAGGACGGGAAGAGCCTGCTGTGGACCCAGCCCACACTCCACCCCCTTTGCTAGCCCAGAGAGGCCAAGGCCATCCTCACCCAGACTCCAGAGGATTTTGGGCTGCTGCCAGCGCCACACGAAAGCCAGTGACCTCGTCAAAAACTTTTCCCAAGGGTCCCACCTCAGCCCCAGGGCTCAGGTGTCACCCACCCCACCTGCAGCATCACTGCAGCCTGAACGTGTGTGGAGCTATGCCCGGCCAGGCTGATGAGCTGGTCCTGGCAAGGTCAGCTGTCCACACCAGATTCGGAGAAGAGGTGGTTCCCCAAGAGAAAGTGGCAGGGAGGGGTAATATATCCAGAAGAGCAGCAGGTTAAGAAGCAGACTGGACCCACAAACCCCGGGCCTGTCCACACCTGCCACCCACTTCCTATCCCACAGAAACGTAGGACGCAGTCGGGTAAAAACCCAATGTTCAATCCCCCACCCAAAGTCACTCACCACTCACCCTCTTTCCGGGTTGGGCTTGACCTGGGGCACCCCTCCTCAGTCCTCTGATTCTTCCCCCTCCTGTCCCTTCAGGCCCTCCCTCGCTACAAGCTGGCATGTCTACCATCTTAAAAACAAGACTTGGCACCTGCTCAGCCACTGTCCTCAACGCCACGCCAGTCCTGGCGTCCCCTCCTCAGCCTTCACGTCTTACCAAGCTACTGAGGCAGCTCTGGCGAAGCTTCCCTAAGCCTGTGAGGTGTGGTACATTCCACTGCGGCCGCTCCTCCTCCCAGACATTTCTGGGTTTGTGCCAGCAGAGGCTCCTGGGAGCCGTGGGCTGGGCGCCTGGTCTCTCTGCTCCTCAGTCCCCTTTGGTGGTCCCCCAGGCCCTCCCCTCTCTCTTCTGGGCTACCCTCGAGGTCCACACACCTGTTTCTAAGTCGTACACTCAAGAGCCAACCCACGTGTCTCTTCAGCTGTCTCACAGGCACCAAATTCATCACAGCAAACATGGGCTCTTCAGGCTATTCCTGCTCTTCCTCCTGTGCCCCTCAGCTGGAAAAGGGCCCCCCACCCCGCCCAAAACACTGCAGAAAGTGGAAGTCCTTAAGGACCCCCTCACTGGAGTCTGCGGGCCCCAAGCGCACCCACTGCCTCCTGCGCAGCCTCGCCCAGCAGCTGCTCCTGCGAGCTACGGCTCCGCGAGCTGCTCAGAAAAGGAGTGGACAGGCGGACGGTCACCGTCCTGCTCACAGTTGGCCTTCGACGCCCTCTCCCACCTCACTCCGCTCAGCTGCCATTGCCCCTCCCCACATGCCTCTCCCGGCACCTGGCCTGAGCTCTAGTGTCCCATGGCCAATCCCCTCCATCCCTTTGTGGCAGCCAGAGTGGACAGAAGGGTCTCCATCAGAGATGAGCGGTGACTCAGAGGAGGGCAGGAACCACTCAGGCTCACCCCGCACCGTCAGAAGTGTTGTCCCTCAACAGCCAGGGTCTCCCGCCTCCTCCCCTTAGCATCCCCGGTTTGGCCACCGCAGCCCCGCGCCAGCTCCCTGTGGGACAGCAGACGGACATGGGGGAAGGTGACCACAAAGCCCTGGACGGAAGCTGGGACAGGCACTGGCTTTCCCTTTATTATTTTTTTTTAATAAATTTAAGAACAACTCTACTTCTCTCCTCCCCCCAGGGCAACTAAAACCAACTAAAAGGGGGTGTGGCCTGGGGGGCAGAGGGCGCTAGGAGTCATAGTCCTCTTCATCCTCTGCATCTGGGACTGAGGGACCAGGGGGTGGTGGGGGCAGAGGCAGAGTCGAGGTGAAAGGCATGAAGGGTGTCGGGGGGCTGCAAGGCAGAAAGCAGGAGAGGAAGATCAGGCCATTCCCAGCAGCCCACTCCTACCCCCTGAGCCCCACCCCACCCTCCACACAGGCCCACCACCCCCTATAGCAACAGGGCCAAGCCCAGAGTCGGTCACACAGGCAAGGTCCAGGCCCAACTACCGCCCTGCCTGGGGGACGGCCCCTGCCCTTTGCCCTCCTCAGTTTCTCCCCCAGGACCCACGTCTGCCAGAGCTAGCAGAACCTAGCGGCCAGGGAGACCTGGGGGGACCACTCAGCCTCGGGGATCTGCTCGCTCCCCAGGGGGTCGATGAGCTGCTTACCTTGGGAAGGGGGCAGGGGCGTGGCTGGCCTGGGGCGGGGCCTGGGGGGTCTCCTCTTCTCCATCGGTGTCTGTGTCCTCAGACTCATCCTGCGGGCAAGGATGACCACGAGAAAGGCTGAGGAGCATCGCAGGTGAGCCAGACCCCGAGCTCCCCACCCAGAGCCCGATTCCAAAGAAACCAAGACAGGCAGGGGTCCCGGGCGAGGCCGCCCTCTCCACAGGTGGGCAGGGGCAGGACAGAGGGCTGGGGCTCACTCACCTCCTGCTCCGAGTCCGTCCCAGACAGCTTCTTGTCCTTGCCCTTGCTCCCCATGCCGCCATTCTTGCGGGCGCTGCCGCCGGGCTTCCGGCCCCTTCGGGAAGGCACAGTCCATCTGCCCAGAGGTCTCCCCTCAACTTGGCCACCCCCCCGGCCACCCCCAACCCCAGCGGCCTTGGCCTTCCCCACCTGAACACCTGGCCCTGGCTTCCCACCTGCGGGCCCCCTTGTCCCCGTCCATGTGGTTGTCCTCCCCGTCCCCCTGCATGTCAGGCACTGAGGCTACCAGGTCCTTCAAGAAGTCAAACTGTTGTTCCAACTCGATGCACTGCTTCCTGGAAGAGGCGGGGCGGCGGGCTCTCAGGAGGGCTGGATGCCCGGCCCTCAGGCAGGCAGCGAGGGGCTCTGACTGTCAAGCGCTTGGCGCCGGGAAAGCCCCCCGCTTCGCAGGAACACCGAGCCTCCTCCCCGGTTCCGAGCCACCCATCTTGAGGCCTCCCGGGGCCCCCACCACCCGGCCCCCTCCCTCCCCACCAGGACGCAGCTTCCCGGCGAGCGCGAAGGGGGGCGGGGACAGCAGGGCCCAGCGCCGGCCCCTCCGGCCCACTCACAGGTGGGACGTGGTCATGGTCTTGGCGTTCCGGGACTGGGTCACCTGGCACGCCTTCTTCAGAAGCGACTCCAGAAAGAGCTCCAGCGCCCGAGCTGGGGGGGTGTCAAGGAGAACTCGGGGGCGGGGTCCCAGCCCGCGAGGGCCCCCGGAGCCCCACCTGCCCGCCCGCCCCGCCCCGCGCGCCGCCGGGGATACAGATGATGACAGGCACGGCGGCCGCCACCTTCCCGATCTCCTCGTCCGTCTGCATGATCTTCTTGATCCGCGCCTGGGGAGGCGGCAGAGAGCTCGCCCGCCGCCCGCGCCCGAAGGGGATGCGGGAGCCGGGGGAGCGAAGGGGGCGCCCGGGAGAAGGGGGCGCGGGGCGCGGGCGCGGGAGCCGCGGAGGGGGGCGGGGCGCCCGTGCCCCCGACCCCGGCGACGCGCCCGCCCCCCGGCCCGGCCCGGCCCGGCCCGGCCTCCCGAGACCCGGGCGCGCCCGCGGGCCGGCCACGTGCTCACCGGCGGGAAGCGCGCGTTGTACTTCTTCTTCTTGCTCGGCATCTCGGGCCTCTCGCCGCGCCGGGCCCGGCGCCGCCGCCCGCAGCCTCCCGGCCCGGGGCCTGCTCGCCGCCGGCCGCCGCGGTTCCCCGGGTCCCGGCGCCGCCCGCCCGCCCGCCCGCCCCCGCCGCTCCCGCGGGTCCTAGCGCCGCGGGTCGGGCCGCCGCTCGGCGGGCCCCAGTGCCCTCCCCTCGGAGCGTCCCGGGCGCTCGCGTCGGCCCCGGACCCGACCGCCGCCCGCCGCCCGCCGCCCGCCCCCACGGCCAGAAGAACGGACGTTGGCCCCGCCCCGGCCCCGCCCCGGCCCGGCCCCGCCCCGGGGTCAGCCCCGCCCTCCGGCCCCGCCCCGCGGCGCTGCGCTCGGGCCCCGCCCCGCGCTGCTCTTGTCTATAAAGTTGTTGTTGCGGCGGCGGCGCTAAGATGGCGGCGGCGGCGGCTGCCGTGGCGGGGGCGGGGCGCGGCGGCGGCGCGGAGCCGCGGCAGGAGCGGGGCCGGGCTCGGGGCTGGACCGGCGCCGAGCGCAGCGAAGGCCGGAGGTGACGGCGGGGCTCGGGAGGGGGCTCGGCCGGCGGGGGCGCAGCGAAGGCCGCGGGCGCTAATGGCGGCGGGCGCGGCGGGCGGAGGCTCGCCCTCCCGCCGGCCCGGGACCGGGTTCGAGTGCGGGCCTCGCCCCTTTGGCCTCGGTGTCCTTGTTTCTGGGCCTCTGGGCCCTGGTTTTGCGTGGACGGGTGATGCCCGCGGAGGCCTGGCCCCGCAGGCCCGCTTGGGGCTGCTGCTTTGCTTCCCTCCACTAAACCCCGCGCTCGGGATACCTGCTGGGCCCTGGCATGGCCGGAGACGAGGCTCGGCTCGTTGGTTTACATTTTGGGCCCGTCCCTCGCTCCAGTCGTGACCTTGGATAAGTTCCTTTCTCCGAGCCGCAGTTGTCTCCTCTAAGTCAGGGCTGGCGGTAATAACATCAGTCCTTACTCCCATGTAGTCTGTTCCACCCCAGGCGTCTTGTAACGATGAAGCAACCGAGCCATGGTGGCATTACGTCTCGCCCCAGGCTGCACATTTTAGTGTGGTGCCTGGCACCCGCGAGGGCCCAGCATGCTGTAGATCTGGACTGGCCCTAACTGGGTTCCCTCACCACAGGATGGAGCCCGGTGAGGAGCAGGACGAGGAGGACTCTCCAGGCGGCAGAGAGGATGGCTTCACTGCTGAGCACCTGGCTGCAGAGGCCATGGCCGCTGACATGGACCCCTGGCTGGTGTTTGATGCCCGCACCACACCTGCTACGGAGCTGGATGCCTGGTTGGCCAAGTACCCGCCGTCCCAAGTTACCCGCTATGGGGACCCCAGCTCGCCCAACTCTGAGCCCGTGGGCTGGATTGCAGCATACGGGCAGGGCTACGTCCCCAACTCGGGCGATGTGCAGGGCCTGCAGGCAGCCTGGGAGGCTCTGCAGACCAGTGGGCGGCCCGTCACGCCAGGTACCCTGCGCCAGCTGGCCATCACCCACCAAGTGCTCTCGGGCAAGTGGCTGATGCACCTGGCACCTGGCTTCAAGCTGGACCATGCCTGGGCTGGCATTGCGCGGGCTGTGGTTGAGGGCCGGCTTCAGGTGGCCAAGGTGAGCCCACGGGCCAAGGAAGGTGGGCGCCAGGTCATCTGTGTTTACACAGATGACTTCACGGACCGCTTGGATGTACTGGAGGCGGATGCGGCCATTCGTGCAGCAGGCATTAAGTGCCTGCTCACCTACAAGCCTGACGTCTACACCTACCTGGGCATCTACCGGGCCAACCGCTGGCACCTCTGCCCCACACTGTATGAGAGCCGTTTCCAGCTCGGGGGCAGTGCCCGTGGTTCCCGTGTGCTGGACCGTGCCAACAATGTGGAACTAACCTAGTGAGGGTTCCTGGGGAGACCACCCTCTATACCTCCTGCTAGGGATTGATCCTCTGGTCTTCCTCCTCCTCGCCCCAAGGAGGCCAAGCCCCCCCAGCTCTAAGGACAAGGTCACTCGGGAACTGCCTGCATCTTTGATCCCCTTGAACTTCTGCCCTCTGTTCAGGGCTGACTCAAAACCCTGCCAGCTGGAGGCTCTGGCTCCCTGATGGCTGAACCCTCAGCATCTCTCTTCATTGCTGCTCCCCTCTGCCAGCGAGGACCACAGGCTGGGTGCTGACACCCAGGAGGAGAGCCTTCCTGGCCACCCCCTCCCCTCCTACTACATCCTCCCCTTCTTTTTCTTCCTCCCTCACAGAGAGAAAACTTAGTTCTTCCAGCCTCTCTCCTTGGAGCCTTCACAGTCCAGGGGGCAGAGGCCCTGTAGGCCTGAGCATGCCATTTTGTTGGGAGGGGGTGGGGAGGGCTGCAATTGTGCCCACTCAGCCCCTAGCAGAGAGAGGGCATGCCAGGGCCATGGGCATGGGGCCTGCCACCTCAAAGCCTGCACCGCCTTCCTCCCTTGGCTACCTTGTCGTATGCCTGCTCCTGGCATTCCAATAAAGCCCAGCTTGGGTCTGTGTCTTGAGTGTTTTGTAAAATACCATGTTGGTGGCTACTTGCTTTGGTTGCTGGAGAGAGACAAGCCAGGAGAGACTGCCTCTCTGCCTGGGCGGGAGCTCTGTCACTGCACCCAGTGATAAGTCACATCTCAGTCCCACGGCTGGGAGCCTCTGAAAGCCTCTGCAAAGCTACCTCCACTTTCCTACATCCCAAGAATCAGAATCAGCTTGTAAGTGATTTCCCATACACCCAGGGGATTGGCCCAGCCCCATCGGAGGGGCCGCTGTAGTCCACAGCATGTAGCTGTGCCTGTCAGGAAAGGCGCCCTCTTGGTCCTGGCGGTTCTGGGCCAGGAGTGTGGTCTGGTGAGCAGAGGATGGGCTGGGTTCCAGCAGTCTAGGGTGGGTATCCTTGTGCAGCGAACAGCCTTCATGACCCTGCGTGGCCCTGGAAGCCCCGTTATCCTCGCCTCTCCTGCCACCTGACCCCACGGGAGCCACCCTGTACTTGGCAGAGCACTTCCAAGACGCTGTTCCGGCGGCCAGTAGCGTGGAGATGGCCGTTCTGTGGTCAAGGGGATTCCCTCGGGGTCACTCAGTGAGTCAGGCAGAGCCAGGACTTGCACCCCGGTCCCTGCCACCACCCATGGCCTGTTCGCTCAGAATCTTGCTGAGCCATCCACTCGTTCTGCTGAGACCACTGCAGCCTCTGGGTACCTGACTTGGCTCCCCAACCCTGGGCCTGGCCTTGGTGGGAGAGCAGGGTGTCTGGCAGGGAGCCCTTTGGGACACTGCTCTCGTGCCGTGCGTGAGCTGACTAAGCCTCCAGCCACCTCACCAAATTGGAATTTGGAGCAGGAGAGCGGAGATGCCGCTGGGCTGACTGGGTGGAAGTGGGTGAGTCATGGGGTGCTGGCTCAGCCCCCTCCCCACTCCCAACCCTCCCCAGGGCTGAGTCCCCCTCAGCCCAGCCCTGGGAAGTCCCTGTAACAGACTGGTCCCAGGATTGAAGCCGGGTGCCTTGCCGCCCTCAGACCATCACTACTTTGCTCTTGACCAAAGTGGGCCAAGGCTTGGGGGGGACTCTGAACAGGTCCTCATGGTGCCCCAATGATGTCCAAATGGTGTCCACACCACCTGGTTCTCAATAACTAAGCATTTCACAGACATTCGTCTCCGTGGCTCATTCCTTTCTCTCAAACCATGACAACCTGTCTCTTTCCCCTCCTGCCTCTTGTCTCCCCACATCCCTTTCCCTGAACCCCTTTCCTCAAAGCCCTGCCATAGCCCCCCCACACACACAGTCTGCCACAGTCTACTCTCCTGAACAGGCCCCAGCTAGGCCCCTTCCCCCCCCCCCTCACTAGCAGCCCCAGCTTCCCTCTGGCACCCCTTTCTGCCCATGTTCACCCCACTGGAGCCCACTCAGCCTTTCTTTCACCCCCTGGGCTGCAGCTCTGAGCCTCAGCCTGTTCTGCTCCAACACCTGCCTGGCCACCGGGTCAGGAGGTTACCTGGGATCCCTTGGCTGACATCCATCTCCTGCTGGCCCCTGAGCCGCATGCCCGACTGCACTCGGGGATGGCAGGACCGGCGTCTGAATCTCAGCGCTCTCCGCAGAGCCAGCGCTGTGGGGCCAGATGGAAGAACAAGCCAGTGACTCAAACCCAACCCGCACCAGTCCCTCCAGCGCGCCTCCCCCCTGCCCCCTGCCCCCAGTTCCAGAACCCCGAGCTGCCTGGCGTTTCCCTGCACACAGGCTGGCCTTTCTCCCTTCCACGCTCCTGGCAGGGCCAGGAGAGACTGCTGTCCTCAGCTCGGGGGCCTGACCCTCACCTGCTGTCCCGGCTGACTCCATGTCTCACATCCACCTGCGCAGGTTTCATCCTCAGAGCTTCTCCTGCTCCAACTGCACCCCAGGCTCCCACAGCACCGCCACCCCTGTGACCTCAAGGACAGCAGCTGTGCTGTATCCCCCAGCGTGTTCTCAGCGCCCAGCACAGGACCTGACCTGGTGCCGGACAAGTCGCGTTCTGTCTCTGGGCCTCAGTTTCCTCATTTTTTCCCTAACAAGAGCCAGGCGTGGTGTTGAGTGTTTCCCTGCGTTATCTTCTCTAAACCTCGCCTTACTGTTACTCCTTTCACTTCAGAGAAGAGGGAACGAGACCCAGAGAAACCAAGCGGTGGTTCACAGTTACCACACGGCGCACGGCAGAGCCGTGATAGCAGCCCGGGCCTTCCAACTCTAGCTCCCACGAGACGGCTTGAGGCCCCTCTAGGAAAGTGCTGGTGGGGCCGGGGGCGCTGCAAGGATGAAAGAGCTGCAGGACTTGGGATCTGACTTGAGCACACGGGTTGGGGCCTCAGAACCACCTGGGAGAGAGGTGGGCCAGGACTAGGGTTCCCATTTTACAGATGAAGAAACTGAGACTCAGAGAGTCCAGCAACTAAGCTGACCCAGACCAGAGGGAGCTCCCTAGTCTATGGGGGGGGGGGATGGAGACTACTCCTCTGCCAGGTCAAGGGCTCCCCAAAACCCCACCTTGGGCCGGCAGGGGAGTCTGCCCCCTTGGGCCTGTCCATTCCCACACAGGAGTGAGGGAGCAGCACTGGTCCGGGATGGGCTGGGTCACTTTGGTCAGGCCTCTGTGCTCTGCTCCCTTTGATAAAACCACTGGAAGGATGGATGAGCACAGGGCAGAGAAGCCCCACCCCACCTTCCCCCTGACATACAGGGTGAGCCCCCAGCCCCAGGCAGGAAACGGGAGAGGGGCTGGCCAGGGAGCCGGGAGCAGCTCTGACCTATCCCCATCCCAGCCGGGACCAGGGGCTGAATCAGGGAGGACAGGAAACAGTTGAGCTAGGAGAAAACTTCAGCAGCCCTTTGGCAGGCTTGGGGGATTTTCCCAGCAGGGCAACTGCACCCCAGTCCCGCCTGCTGGGAGGGGCCCTGGCGGGGACCAGGCTTGGGTCACACAGCTGATTCATCCAGGGAGGGAAACTCCCCACTTTTCGGATGCACCTCCCCCAAATGCTGAGAGGTAACCTAAGGGCACCGGACCCAGAAATCCACCAAACCATCTTTTCTGGATTACTGGCCTCCGGGATGAGGTGGGGGTGGGGGTGCATGCAAACCCCCAGGCTGGACAGAGTCAGAAGGGGCAGTTTCCTGGGGAATAAAACCAGAGACTGGAGCCAAAGTGAAGGCCAGACAAGGGGCATCTCCGGCTTCCTCCCTCACCCAGTTTCTACCTGCGCAAACTGAGGTTCAGATGGCAAGGACAGAGGCCCGCATCCCTGCTCTGCGCTGGGCGGGCCTGGTGTCCCTGTCGTCCCCCCTGGAGTGCGGGGATACGCTCCTGGACTCCCAGGGCTGAGCAGAGAGAATGGGGCCCTGCATGTGCTGCTCCCTGTTCACACGTGCCTGTGATCAAGGCGAGTGTATAAATCAGGCACAGTAAGAAATTTGCAACAAAACCTTACAGTGAAATATAACACATGACAACATGCTGCAGTAAAAGGTGGGTGAGTGTGGCCTCTCTTTCTCGCTCTCAGAAAATCTGCATGAATTATTTCCAGGCCAAGGGGGATCCCGGGGACCCTCGGATCAAGGAGGGTATGTGTGTTCTCCGCTGGGTCCTCAGGGTGCTCAGGAGAAGGGAGCAGCAGCACAGAGGTTAAGTACCCCGGCCACGGACAGAGATCTCCCCCAGTGCCCTGTCCCTGGGCAGCTCTGGCCCCTGGAGACCAGGGGTGAAGTCTGAACCAATGGCCTTGGTGGCGGGGGATCTTTCGCCCTCAAGTTCCACTTCTACCCTGGAAGACACACACAAGTCGCCCAGCTCCTCCTCCTCCCTGGCGTAAAGGGACAGGCTGTTCCCTGTCCGGGAGTCGGCTGAGCCCCACAGGGGCCAGGAGAGGGCAGCGGAGCCTTCCTGCCAAGACCTTCCTCTGGAGGGCTTGGCCTCCACTCCAAGACCCAATCCTTTCCCCCCAGTCAGAGATCCTTTCCCTGCCTGCCAACTCCCCCCTTGAGACACCACACCACACATATACACACATACACGCACACGCACGCACACATGTGAGCATCTGAGTGTCCCGCTCCTGCCCTCGGGGAGCCCCGCACCCCCTAACCAGGGCGGAAGCCTCAGGTGTTGGAGGGCAGCTGAGAGTCTTAGCTCCGTGGGGTGTGGCCAAGGGCCCCACGCTGGCAAGCTGTGTCCCATCTGGCTCCCACTCACAGGCTGCATGACTCACCCCCTCGCCCCCCCATGACTCAGTTTACACCGGTGCCTGGAGGTCCTCCCAGGGAGGGTGGGGCAATTTATTGGTCCAGCCCAGGCCCGCCAGCCTTTAATCCCAGGACCAGCGTTTCCTCCCCCTCCTGCCCCTCCCCCCACGGGAGCAGCACCCAGAAGATGGGGGTTGGGGCTGGGGGGGTAGAGGGAAGCCTCAGGTCTGGGGGCATGGGAAGAGCCCAAGAACTGGGTAACAAGCCCCAACTACCCTGGTCCTGGGTCTGCAGGAAGCAGAAGCTGCTCCAAGAAATTTAGGGGGCCAGCGGTGCTGACTGGGCAGCACCCCCATACCCTCCATAGGAGAAAACCATCCCCTGGGCCCAGGACAACTAGAACTTCCCATGGGGGACTTCAGCCCCCTCCTGCCCAGGCTTCAGCCTCTGTAAACTGAGCACAGTTACTTTCCTGGGCGGGGGTTCCTCTTGTCCCCCTCTCCCCCCCACCCCCCACCCCCGCCAAAGTCAAGCTCCTCTGCCTGGCATTTGAGGGCCCTGGCTGGAGCTGTGCTCAGCCGCTCCTCCCTGACTTATACTCCCCTGCCAGCAAGTTGCTCCTGGCCCACCCTTGCCCCAGGGGGAACGACACCTTCCTGAGAACTGCTGGAGCCCCTGTCCCCTGCACCTCCCCCATCTGGGCTGACTTCTCTGGGCTGTAAGTGCCTGGGGGGCAGGGACCAAGTCTGTCAGCCCAGCCTCCCTCACAGGGGGACCCATTCAACTGGTGACTCCCTAAATTCAGAGAACGGAGAGGAGCTGGGGCCATGGGGCCCTGGGGTCCGTCCAACACCACGGGGAACTGTGGCCACACGCACACAGGGGTGAGCCTCACAGACATACAAGCCAGAAGCCAGACACCGGTGTGACTCAGGGCGCTGTGGGACTGGAGACGAGACAAGATGGACCTCTGCAAGAGAGAAGGGGTTTCCTGGGGAGACGGGACAGACCCACGAGGACGGGGTGGGGGGGTAGTTGGCTGCATCTTGGCCCCGCACGAGCAGGTGGCACTGCCAGCGGCGCTTTCAGCAGGGTTCACGCCACAGAATTGCAAATAGGTCTCCACGGACCAGACTTATACAATGAGCAGATCTCTATAGACTCGCTGGGAGGATTCTCAAGACACCAGAAAACCAAAAGAGCAAAGAACATAGCAGGATGTGGCGCTGGCTACCTTCTCCAGTAAGAAAAAATTCTTCAAGAAACTGGTTCTAAGAGAGGGGGAGTTTTTCCTTGTATCCCCTTGGGAAGCTCCTGGATTTGGGACTGTGGAAGGGTGCTACCTTGTCAAAAAAGAAATGCAAAGTAAAAATATAAGGCAAAGTAAAAATAAAAATCGTGTTTTAAATCATCACACACATTTATTACATCTACATCTACATCAGGCTAAAAAAAATAAAAGCAGCACCTGCCAATGCTGTGGGGCGCTATTGCTTGAAGGCTTCAAAGCAAAGGGGGGAGTCATGAAAGTCCTCCTGAGGAAGAGGGTGGGGACACTGGGGGCTGTAGGGTGAGAGTCACTTTGCCAAGTGAGGGGCTCGAGGTCCTCCACCAAGCCCCCCATTCAATGTGCAATGATCACGGGTGTGAGCGTCCCGCCCCCACCCATGCCCACTTCTCAGGTTCGCTTACGGGGTAATTCAGCGTCAGGATTTTCAAAATCCCTCAAGCTGCTGGGTGGGAAATGGAGAGGTGGGAGCTGAGCGCCGGCTGCAGAGAGCGTCCAGGAGAGAGAGGGTGGGGTCAGGACCAGGGAAAGGAAAGTTTGTTGAAGTCAACTAAATGTCACCTGCAATACCGGGCAGCCAGAACTCCCACCAGTGCCGGTGGGATGCAAAACAGAAGAACCGCTTTGAAAACTGTTGGAGGGAGTCAAACCTAAACTTCCATGCTTAGGTTGTTCCATGTTCCCTGGGACCCGGCCACCCCCAGGCACACACTCAAGCAACAGGACTGTGCTCAGTCACC